GATCTAATGGCTCCAAAACGCGATCCGCTCTTTGGGTGAAAATCGATCAAAGAGTACCACAAATAATAGCGGTGATTAAGTTTAGCTAGTTACCTTATTTCTAGTTTAGCAGTTTGAAATTACGCGCAGACAGCCCTTTGTGTAGCTTTTTACAAAAGTTCTGAAACAAACAAACAAATAATTGCGATGGTTATTAAAAATTGAAAAACATTAAAACATGTATTATATAATTTCTAAGTATTATTGTTATTATATTAAGTGTGCGCATGCTTGTTAATCACCAATTTACAAGAAATAAATGCAATAAATACTAGAGAAGTAATAGACAGAGAAAATCCACCGTATTGCCATATTTTATTTGGAAATGTTTTATATAAGTGTTTGGACAATAACGTGTGTCATAACACAGTTCACTCTACATTCGTCTTTTAATTCAATTTTAATAAACTATGAAATTGAACAAATTCAATACACTTTAAGTGACGACATAATTTCAAATATTCTCAACAATATCAGATCGTAAATATTTTAAAACTAGAAAATCTGATTTAGGTAAACATTTCTTATTAGATTCTAGTCAGGTTTATTATATTGTAACAGAATAACGGCAAATATGAAATGTTTATATGTTAATATCAGTACGTTGGAGATTCGTTTTAGCCTTGCAAGTTACTAGACAAATGTTTTGTTCGATCCATGTGTGAAACGTTATTTTATCAACTTTTATTATTGGTAAATAACTAGACATGTAGGTTATTCATTCATGGTGATAGATACAATGTTAGTTACTTTCAATACACAAAATTAAATGATTGTTATTTTCACACAAACATACAATATACCATGAGAAGAACATTTCAGAGCTCATTTTATATCTGTAAATAAAGTTTTATATTCATTAGGGATGATCTCTGAATACAGAAGAAAAAATTAAAACTTATTTAACACAAGATTATAATCATTCACATTAAATCAATTAACAAATATATTTTTTCCTTATTTGCACTTAAGTGCTTGAAGAATTATCAACAAAGCAAAAAAGAATTAAGTGGAGAAAAAATTGCAAAGTTTCAGGTTTCTAAAATTAACCCAAAGGTTTAACTGGTGTTGTTTCTTCTGCGGCTTCAACAACACACCTCCCAGGCAACTGGGGGTATGAAGAATTTGGTTGACACTTTAAGCCTTTCATACAAGTTCCTGCGTGATTCCAAATCCCACCACACTGATCTTGTAGTCCCTGTTGAGAGGATATTGTAACTATTAACTCCATAAACTTGAGAAATGGCAAAGACAGAACTATTTCTGCATGCTAGAACTAAGTAGAGATTTTGTAGAAATGCTACAAGATCATCTGCCATAAATGTAAAACATTCTTTACAGTGAAAAAGTAACTGAACTTCCTGCACATTGATTCTCAAGTTCACTAGATTCAAGTAATAATACCTACGTCTATTATATTAAAGACTTTTTCTTAATTGTGTTAATGGTACATGGAATATACTTGTGTGTATTTCACTTCTCACACTTTATGTTATGTTTCGATAACTTTTTTTTCTTAATGTTTTGAAAAGTAATAGTTAGAGCTTGCTGATTTGTATATATTTACAATAATTTAAATAATAACACACATTCTCCTGTAAACTACTGTTTTTTTTATACATTTAGAACTAACATAGAAATAATTTTGCCAAAGAATATGTCTGGAACTGGGCTTCTAAGCCTTACATTTACCAGCAAATATGTTTCCAGCCTTTTCATTCTACCATTCAGAATATCCAAGCTTTCAACATTTTCAAAATCCTGAAAAACTTGTGAGTCACCTCTATTTCTGTGCCCCAGAAAAAATAAGGTCAAATTTTAAATGCTTTGTTTGATCCATGTATGAAATAGAGGGAACATATTTTAAACTTTGATTATAGGCAATACCCCAAATAATATGGTGGAAAGTAAATGTTTAAAATTTCTTTAAAAAAAAGATCCTAGTACGATTAGTTTCAAGCTGCTAATAACAATCACACTAAATTCCTACTATCTTTTCTAATAAATCAATATCTCCATAATATGTGGTATATCAATATACAATGTGTTCCTATTTTCTTGTAATATTATAGTATTTATTCTGAATATATTCTTTGTCTGTAGATATGTAAGTTTCAAATAACACGTGGTCGAAAAAAGCTGTTAAGTCGACTTCATTCTAGCTGTTTTTGTTTCATTGTTGTTTTCTAGTAGATAATTCCTGCTCTGCTTATGGTGGATAATGCTGAGTGTGAGAGATCTTCTCACCCTTACTGAGGCAGTTTTTGTTATGATGCAGTACGAAATGATAATTTCGAACTGATCCTAAGAGAGAAAGAAGCCTGTACCAGAAGCTTCAGCAACTAAACCATGGACAGAACATCCTGTCCAAGCACTAACATATGCCAGTTTTAAACTCAACCAAGGATCAACCACCCACACAGACTGGCATCGTAATACAATCACACTGGTATCAAATAAATTGGCAGGGCTATCCCAGTCCTCACATGATTTATATGCTGCAATATATGTTGTTGTTCAGTTACCTTCGAGTAATGTGCCCATACCTTGCTGAGAAGCAACATAGCCAAGGATCGAACTTCTGTATTTAAGTGTTTTACACTCACAAAAAAGAAACCTATCATTCTATAGGTATTTGAAGAACTTATACCATTTCGTCACAATTCAATTCTTCGTATTGTTAGCCGACACTGGGCAGCTTGTACATAATTGAATAAATAGAGTTGTTTAAATATTTGTTTAAACAACTCTATTTATTCAGTTATAGCCAAGGACATTAGTTTTGACTGATGGTGCAACAGGTAGGGAAGAACCAATATCAGACAGTTAATACTGCTGTTACAGCTCTAGAAAACTTCAAGATCCCAAATCAGATCTGGTTACGATCTTGGATAAAGCAATAAACAAGTTTCTCCAAAACGTGGGATAGTCAACCCAGCTCTCTCAGGGCTGGGTGGATCATGGTATGTATCTGTAAGAGTATAAGAGCGAGAAATAGAGCTCCTGGATGATACAGTAACAGACGGAACACTGATAGATCTTGTGGTGTATGAGGCACTCCGAACAAAACCACCACCTGAGCCAGTTGACATGAACTTCATTCTGGTGAACAGAGATGGACTAGATGTGAATGGAAACGAAACATACTCTGACTTTGTATAGGATGTTTCACTAACAGAATGAAGGTAGTTCTCACTGACCTAGGTTTGGCATCAGCATCCTTGGAATGGATGTACTGTGGGAATTATTAGTGAACTTAAGTTCTGCAGTCAATTACTTGATGTAACCCAGACCGACCCCAAAAACAGTAGACTGCATTAGTATATGTGGTAGAGTAAATCCCAATACCCTCATGTGTACAAGTGGTGTTCCAAGCAGTGTATTGGTGCTGTGTAATATGATTACATAACCCACAAATGAAATGAGCTATTTCTTATCCAGAAGGTAAGTAGCAACAGCTTGGACAGTTATCTGTTCAAGTGATATGAAATCTTGGTGTTCTACAGCAATTGTGGACAATGAGTAACAGAAGTGAAAATAACCAATGCTAGCATTAATTTTAGGGTTGCATCTGCACGGCATTCAAAAGCAAATACATAGATGGATACTAGTACATTTAATATTATTGAATTATTATTCTGCAGGCAACCTAAGCTCAATGCAACAGCAGCAACTCAATGACTTGTTAGCAGAATATGGCAATGTATTTATAGGACAAGATGGCTGACTACAACAATCACACAACATCATATATATACAGCCGATACACTTCCAATCAAACAACAACCATGCAGGTTTCCCTTGAGCATTATGGATATAGCCATCACTGAAGTACAGTGAATGTTAAAAGTTCTGCATAGATGTTAGATATGTGAACATTGTAACTCACATTGATACCTTTCTATTACCATAAACAGTTGAATGTCTAAAATTCTGGTAAGGGGACCATTGGTTCAATATGTTAGACCTTGCACTGGGATACTGAGGTAGAGATGTTCTTCACATGGAGTGATTGTAATAATATAAAAGACTGTTCAGTGTAGGTATTATTTGTTTATCTATTTGGTGAGTGAAGATTTCATGATTGTTTAGCTTTTTCATAACAAGAGAATTAAAAGCTATTATTTTAAAGTAAATGTTATGACAATTTTAGTTATGTAACTCGATAAGACTCGTACGTTGTGTATATAGTTCATTGATGTATGTCGAGGATATAGAGATTTCTGGAAGGCGAGCTGATGATTAAGTGATAAATATATAAATAGTGTGAGACGAGCGAGAATAGCAGACAGACAGAGCAGACGAGAGACCAGAGAGCGAGAAGAGAGCCAAAAGTAAAGCCGAGTGAAAGAGAGTTTTGGTTAGAGAAAAGTTAGAAAACGTAAAGTGAACCGTCGTAGGAGTGAAAGGCCTAACAGATGATATGTTAAAGTGAGATTAACAGTTTTTTGACATTTTAGGAGAATAATTTGTCACGCCAAAGGGTGTTCTAAAGCAATTGAACCGGCCAGTATGGAGTTTGACAAAAAGCAGGCAAATATTTGGAAGTAGGTCTACATGCGAAAAGCAGACGTTTATTGGATGTAGGCCTAAATAAGAAAAAACAGATGAGTATCGGAAGTTCAGGATACAACTGTGATAACTCAACAAGGCAGCGTAAGTGAATTATACACCGATACTGTTGTAATAAGAAGAAAAAGAAGAAGAAAAGAGAGAGAGAGAAGAAAAGGAATAAGTGTTTAACATAAAAATAGAGAAAGATATTACAGCTTGTCAACTGAATTCTAGAGCAATTGAACTGGCATAAGTGGACTTTTGATAACAAGAAGAGAAATTTATAGTACTTAAGATACAACTTCGACACATATAGTGTAAATAATTTTTGTACATACGTTTAACTTGTTTTGAATGTTTTTATAAACAGTCGGAGTGCAAGCTGTTCATTTATCGTCGAATTTATCGCCAACAGGTCACATACACCTATTGTACAAGAATCCTTAACTCAACATACCTATATATATTTACTTACTATATATATTATTAAAAAGATTGTTTGTTTGTTTGTTTAATTATGCACAAAGCTACACAAGGGCTATCTGTGCTCTGCCCACCACGGGTATCGAAACCCGGTTTCTAGCGTTGTAAGTCCGGAGACATACCGCTGTGCTACTGGGGGGCTATTAAAAAGAATAAATCATCATTATTTTGCCAGTGATAAATGCAAGCAATCGAGTTCTTGAAGTGTGCTTCAGTAGAAGCCCCATTGTTGGCACATTCAAAATAGGACTGTGAATTCCTGTTAAAACATCAGCACAAGTGATAGTGAAATTGTAGCAGTGTTATCACAGTTGCAGGATTGATTAGAACATGTACTCGCATACGCTTGTCATAAATATTCACAGCTCCTGAACACGATGAAGAAAGAATATATGTTTAAAGTTGTGATCTTCGTAAAACAGTTCTGGCACTTATTCTATGGTGGAAAGTTCATTGTTTGAGTGAAACATGAACCACTGAAGTGGCTGATGAACTTTAAAAATCCTGAAGGGATGGAAGCGTACTGGATAGTAGCATTGCAAAAATATGATTTGATGATACATTGTCGCCTTGGTGTTCTATACTGTTGTGATAAGAAAAAAAGAAGAAAAGGAATAAGTGAATTATACACTGATAGTGTTTAAGATAAAAATAGAGAAAAGCAACCTAAGCTCAATGCAGCAGCAACAACTCAATGACTTGTTGGCAGAATATAGCAATGTATTTGTAGGACAAATGGCTGACTACAACATTCACACAACATCATATACATAAAGATGATACACTTCCAATCAAACAACAACCATGCAGGTTTCCCTGGAGCATTAGGGATATAGCCATCACTGATGTACAGTGAATGTTAAAGTTCTGCATAGATGTTAGATATGTGGGAGTTGAGACCATTTCTGCTATAACGCCGACAAGCCATAGCAGGTAAAAACCACAATAAATGTTTTGTAAACTCCAGAAAAAAATAACCTAGATCTAGTTGGGACACTCCTTGTATACAACAAGATAAAGTGTGACTTGCTCATATTGAGGAATATAGCATAGACACATGTAACAGACAGTTACAAGTGCAAGAAAGAGTGATATACCATTGTTATCAAACACCGAGCAGTGATACTAAGCCTTTGATACAGTTGATGATCTCCAGAGCTTTCAGGAATGAGATTTTCTAAATTTTGTATAGTACAATGACTGGAGGACAGAGGCTCTTCTGACGGCATTCGAATCAAGGTGTTTAGCATTTTGTGTTGCCCAAGAAAAAGCCAGCCTAAACAGGTACACTACAGAAACCAATTGTTTGTTCTCCTCTGCGAAGAATAGCCCTAGATAACGCTAGTCCAATCCAGGAGACAGAACGAAGTCACCTGTAGGTACTTGTTAAAAATACTTGTTAAAATGCTCGATCTTTCGATACAGTTATCTATATCTTTATCTTGTTTGTTGAAAATTGTTATTAATATCTTGGTTGTTGCAAATCATTTCCGCTATTCTTAACTTTGAAGAAAAACGCTGACTCTTGAAGATTATTACCAATACTTTGATTTGTAAAGACCATTACCAGAATCTTTAAAAGGGGTTATCGTTATTTTCCCTTGAAGATGTTTTATTTGTAATACGATATTTGAAACAGTTCACTATAAAGGTAAGTTTTCTTGTGATGTAAATGAATCATAGTTTACCAGTTAAAAATTAACATCAAAGATTTAATGCTTTTACCAAGAATACATTTATAAAACAGAAGGTTTTAATGTAGTGGTTAAATATTTACCTTGGCACAAACGGTGCAGCATCCACATTGGTCAAGCAACTTTTCCGTGGAACATGATTCTATTGGCTCACATTTTGAAGTATCGCATACAGGACAAAAGTTGGGCATGGACATGGAAATGGACCTGTTTAAAATATACAAAAACTTATTTTAGGTTTAATTTTCAACAAATTCTCCCCAGTACTAGAGCTATAAATATACTGTATAAGAGCAATCTTAAAATGGCCAAGTACAGATAAATTGTCTGAACAAAGCGTTGATCTGTTTCGAAAAATATTAACCAAAAAGAACATCCTTTTATATAAAACGGGTGTTATGTGTGTTTTGACGAACAAATGCTCAAAACAACTTATACAGACCAAAATAACAACTCGCACATGTTTGTTCGATCATACGCTACCTTCCCTGTTACCAGTCTGCCATTTACACCATAACTACTCCATGCTTGTAGACAATAACATCATTATAGAACAGTTTGCAAATATGTTGGTAAGACTAATTCTGTAAATAGATGGTTAGGATTAAGAATATCATGACTATGTGCATCTCTCAATGGCTCAGCGGTGAGCGTGTGCTCTCCTGATGCTAAAAAATCTTGGATACCTTGAGTAACAACGATTATCTAAAAAATTTTTATTAATCCAATACTGAAAACATTTCTTTTCTGGGTTAAATATTTCTTTAGTCATCTTGAAAACTCAAGTCTGATTTTTTTTTATCGGTCTCACAAACCTATTTAAATACAAAGTTATTTTTGTGGAAGTTTCGTTTAGTTTGTGTTTTTAGCGCAATTATACTAGTTAAAACATTCAAAATATTTTCACTACACCCAAGAATATTAAGCTGTACGTACTGTGGCACCGTCTTGGTATTTGCGTACTATTTATACATCGAGAACATCTAGACTTGGCTAACGAACCAACACACACATAACAAAAACGTTAGATTTACACATAACGCAGCTAGTTGCTATCACAAAAACTGTTTGAAAATTAAAAGTGGGAATTTTACAAGAGCTATAAAAATACTCCGAGTTAATAGAACGAACGTTGTTATTAATTAACTAATAGAGAAGATGTGCATAAGAGCATTTGGAACGGAATACTGGCTGTCTGAAACACATGTGTTACGTTGTATAACTGGGGTTTGGCACATTTGCACCGAAAACTGTACTACTTACTTTCATGTCAGGGTGCAAGGTGTAAGATCTGAGTAGAGTTCTTAGTATTCCAGATGAGTCTAAATTAATGAAACCTTTTTTGTACAACGATATTGTTAATTGAAGTAATAAATGTGTAAACATGCTAGTTTTAATGCTATACGTTATAAAATTACTATTATTGTACTCACCACGTAACAGTCGTCATAAAGATCAACACAAACAGCACAGTCTGCATTGTTTGATTTGGTGCTGAAAAGGAATGGATGAACAGCAAAATTAACAAATACCAATATATATCTGTCATACTTATTATATATATATATATATATATCTGTCATACATAGTATACATCTGTAATATATACTATACATATCTGCCATGTATACAATACATCAGCCATACAATATACATACATACAATATTTTCTATTCTTTTAGGAACTTTTCAACAGTTTATATAAAACTACAAATCCTCCCTAATTCTATACAATATATATATATATATATATATCCTTTCTCATTCTTTCTATCAATATATATATATATGTAAAGTAGAAATATAATTTACCTGTTTTGGCCACTTACCAAATATTTCCTAGTGAATTTTGTTTCATCCAGCAAATTTATATATTGCTAAAAGATTCATATCTTGTAATTGATATCATAAAACATCGTTACATAAATCTTATCGCATAGAAAACAATATTTTCTGTTCTTTGAGGAACTTTTCAACAATTTATGTAAAACTAAAAATCCTCCCTAATTCCATATTACTCGTGTTATTTTCCTGTAGAAATGTTAAGTTTACTTGTATCAGATCTCACTAGGTCATTAGCATTGTCGTAAATCATTATCTTCTATTTGATCTTAGTTATCTTAATCCCATCAAGGTACTTTATACAGAGAACTGATCGTATCTATGTGCATGCTGTTTTAGGAACTACAGAGAAGGAGAAACAAAAAACAGTACTTATAAATATTCAGAAAGAAAAATTTATCTTGATCATTCTTAACCAAATAACAACAATCAGAAAGTTTGTTCAGATTTACACTGTTTGTTTGGAATAATTTCTAATTTAAATTGGATCTTAGTTCATTAATAAAGAAGTGTTAATACAAAGCAGAAGTATTTAAATATTGCATTTATAAGCATAAGATACTAAACCGAAACTACAGTGAAGCTAGCAGCATGTTCAACAGTTACTAACATCAATTTCACATTTAGAAACCGAAAAGTTACATACATGAATATTAATAAAAATATCACTTGAACCAGAATCTTACCACTGTGTGATACAAAATATAATCAGATGAGAAAATATTGGGCTCTTAATTTAATTAAATCATAAATATTCCACATTTCAGCCATTTTACTTGCTTTTTCTCCTAGCCAAGATTTATAAACGTTATGACTAACTTTAATTGGCTCTAACTTAAGTTGCTTACACCATTCAACATATTCAGTTAACAGATGTAATGAATTTCCAATTGAAGATGAATTTTCATTTTATTTGTACGACACTTATCTTTGGATAAAACTACACGTGTCGAGAAACGTTTTATACATATACATCAGTCACCTCTCTCAAATCTTGCCTGATCCTAAGTTCTTCTTGCTTTATAATACATGCAGTGCTTAAGTAAAAGCTACTATATACCAAGTGTTTCTTTGCAATTCTTGTAAATGTTTGACTTCTTTGTTTTGTAGCATGATGATATAATTTTACGTTACACCACAAGTAATTGTGATATTACATATTAAAACTGGATTCAGTAGGTAAGTATTAAACCGTACCAATGCTGTAGATTTGGAAGCGATGCATTGCGTAAAATAAACTGAACTTGGAAAGAAAATGAAAGACTAAAACGCAATTGTAGAACAAAGAAAAAAACTTTATTGTTTGAAAAAAACGTTATTTCAATAGTTATCAAAACTACAACAACATAAACGCCTGTGCTCTAGTGATCTTTTTAATTTAAGCAGCGTTTTGTTGAAGTTATTATGGTTTATTTTAATAATTAAAACATACACTCATACTTATTTTCAAACAATTTCGTGCATATGTACAGTATTAGCCGTTATTTATGTAATGAGAATAACTGCTGGCCTAGGTAACCTGGGATTGTGGAATACCTCAATAGGACTTTAGTTTATCTTATCAATGTGGTATATATACAATCCAGATACTTTTTTATACGAGGACGTGTTCTTCTATAGCACCAGCAATCAACACAATTCTACAATAAAAACTTAGAGTTTGATTGTAAACACCCCAGCACCTCTGATTTCAAGCTTTGTGATATACATATGACTGAATTCGTTTCCATGTTATGAAATGGTAAAACATAGTTTTTAACTGCTACAGTAAATATAAAAACGATGAGTAGTAAAATATTATAACAACAAGTGTGGTGACTATATTTTATCTCGAATAATCGTTGTAATTTTTTATCATGGTGCAAGTTTCGAAACTTATAAATAAAATATTACTAGTTTTCAAACGAGATCCAAAACTCGAGCGCTTCAGGAAGAAGAATAGTGAACTATTCGAAAGCCCTCGAGTTTTGGGTCTCATTTGAAAACCATTACAACTTTTGTATGTGATCCTCTGTGCCAACGTCTTAATCAGAAACTTATTAGTTTCAACTTTGAAAAAGACGAGGCATGAGATTAAAAAAATTCTTTGAGGCAACATGTGAAATGTTCCGAGATTATTCTTTGCAGTTTAATGCGTTCTTTAGGTAAATATTTTCTGTTAAGAACAAAGCCTATCTGTGCTGTATTCGACACTGATATTGAAACCCAATTTTTTAGTGTTATAAGCCAGAGGCGTTTTTAACACTTCAAACTACTCGGTGAAATATTCTTAGGGGGCCCATCTGTACCGATCAGCTATAGGTATAGAATTGTATAAGTTTTTTTGCATCACTTTGGGGGATCGCAATATGAGAGGCTCGACGGTGCAATGCCCCGATGGCACCGACATTATAAAATACGCCACTGTCATAAGCTCTCAAACTTACTGCTGAGCAACTGGGAGGCTGATAACAGTCAAATGCTATTGGGCGAGTTACGCCCGTGTTTTTTAATTAACATTATTCTTACTATAATGAGCGCAGCATGTATATATGTATCTTTGTATATGGCCGAAATAATAAATACAATGTGGCGTCACAAACAAAAATCCATAAACAAGTTTCACACTTTGGGTATTCAAGATTTAGACAATTAGAAAAATAACTCCGATATGTGTAACAACCATTTCTTTATCACAGAACACAATTTTAAATAACAGTACTCTCCTCACAACATAAACACGACTTTCACTAAGACTGTACGTGAAGGTTTGATTATATCTTTACTGTTGTAATGTAAATATGGAGTTCTTAAAAAAAGTGTTATTTTTTTCAGTAAATGGTACCGCTTATAATATATAAAACATTATAGTTTATATCAGCCCAATCCGAACATTTTTCCAGTGCAGTACTTCCTTTTTTTAGAAAATGTTCACTTTTTTTTTTCAATGAGGTATGATGGCCCGGCATGGCCAGGTGGTTAGGGCACTCGACTCGCAATCTGAGAGTCGCGGGTTCGAATCCCAGTCACACCAAACATGCTCGCCCTTTCAGCCGTGGGGGCGTTATAATGTGACGGTCAATCCCACTATTCGTTGGTAAAAGAGTAGCCCAAGAGTTGGCGGTGGGTGGTGATGACTAGCCTTCCCTCTAGTTTTACACCATTAAATTAGGGACGGCTAGCCCTCGTGTAGCTTTGCGCGAAATTCAAAAACAAACAAACAATCAATGAGGTATGAATATTTTGCCTCTCCCCCCTCCCAAAAAAAAAGAAAAGGTTGAACCGTTCGGTTTTTAACCCTTTAGCCCCTTCAGGTCGTAATCTGTTGTGGTGTTCTGTTTTTCTCCACTAATGTATAATCCTATATTTATTTTGGTTTCCAAATTACCAGTTGTTGGGTGTTTTTAAAACCACATTTCAGCAGATATTCACAGTAACAAATGCTGGTGGTTACATTCCGCAGAACTGAGCGTGTACGCTTTATTGCATTCAAAGTATTTATTATTTTAAGTTAATATTTTCTCTCGTCTTGTTTTAACAGTATATATATAAAAGTTTTAAATAATTACTCAAAACAATTCCAATAGAAAGGTTATGAAAATGGTGTGTAAAAGTTGAACGGACATACCAGTTGAAGGTGTGTAAAATGTTGAACGGACATACCAGTTGAAGGTGTGTAAATGTTGAACGGACATACCAGTTGAAGGTGTGAAAAAGTTGAACGGACAGCTGAAAGTACTTTCATGCAATATTCTTAATATCCTCGTAAGTATCGCAAGTTGTCATTTTGTTTTGAAAAATGATACTAAAACACTTTGAATAGACTTATAAAAGATTTTTAATTGTCGATTTCATATTTGTATTGACGAAATTATGCTGATTTAGAGCTAAAAGAGAAATAAGTGATTTAAATTATTATTTTTGTAATCATTTGTTGACATGATAAAAATAACTAAATTACAAGTTTTAGGTGGCTGCTAACTTTCCATCAGTAAGAAGTTAAAACTGTCAGGAATGATATATTAACAAATTATTTATGGTTCATTTAAATAAAAGGTCAAGTCGCTATATTCAAGGATAGTTGTTTGTTTTCTTTTTTAACCTGCTTTAAAATGATTAAGCATCAGGACTGCAAAGAATAGATTGTTGTCCTTTTTTTAAACACGTGTATTTTGACTTTTTTTTCAAGGTGAATTGTCAACAGAAAATACATAAGTAGCATATCATTTTCTTAAGCAATTCTGTATTCATTCACGTAGTGTTTTTGTGAATTTGACGGCGAACTCCTCGCACAGATTTGGAGATAGTGGGACCAAACTTGGCACACGGCGGGTGTCCTAGCGGGGTCTTTTTCGGGTATGGGCCACTCATGGAGTAGCTATAATAGCAATTGGGGATAATGGAGAAGCTTAATCAGTACATTGGAGCTTCTGTGAATTGTGAGGGGGTTTTTGAAGCCCACAGATCCGCGCATGTATTTTATGCTAGTCTCGTTAATATTTATTATTCAATACCAAAACTGGCATCAGACCGACTAAGCCTTTGAAAAGTATATTACTAACTGTGAAGAATGAACAGCTGTCTTCAAGCATGATAGTGTTGCTTTATGCTCTGATGCTAAAAATACTCATATATTTGTAGCTAAGACGTTT